CTGCTAGTTTTAAATTTAAAAAAATAAATAAATATGGTTCATCTTCATCCAATACAAAAATATATCTAGCCCAGCATGTTAATATATAAATTACAAAAAGAATAATATAAAAATATCACCTGAATCATGAAATAAATTAAAAGATGTTGATCTTCAAAGCCAATGTTGAATTCTTCAAAATTTTGATGTAATTGACCTTCAATTCCTTACTATAACTTGATCTCCTCTCTCAAAATATAGCAATTAGCCTTTTGTTCTTGATGAATTTGATGAAATTATTATTTATGAAGAGGCAAGAATGTGTAGTCCTCGTTCTTTATTTATAAGAGCCAGAAAATATGTCAAAATCGCGTCCAAATTTGTTTCCAAAAGAGTTTGAATCACAAAAGGAAACTAAAAATTCGTCTGCAAAAATGGCCTGCGCGCATTGGTATAACTACCGCGCGCGAGCCATAGAATCAAATGACTCTCGGGTTGGAGAAAATAGGGTGCCGCGCGCGCTCGCAGGTTTGTCCATGAGCAGTTTTCGATATTTTGACCATAACTTTTTCTACGGGTATCCAATTGAACTTATTCAAAATGAGTTGTAAAGGTAATTCAAAGGGCTACAATTATTTTAGAAATAAAATTTTTCAATTCGAACGCTTGCTATCCGAAAAATGGGTCTCAAGTTAAGGCTAAAAATCCATAGCATAACTTCTTCGGCTGAAAATTGATTTGTGAAAATACTTCCACTATATTTCACTACTTTGACCTCCAATTGCATCTAATTGATCCTATATGATCTTTAATTATCTTTTTGTGGTCCGAATCAACTATTAGATGTTTACACTTTGTTCCCCAAGTTTTGGATTTCCTTCATTTTCTCACGTTTTTCGTTCATTTCTTTCAAATCCACCAATTTGCATTGAGTTCAACCTAACAAATATGATTAACACAAAATTAGGCTATAGCTCATTCAAATCACTAACAAATACTCTAATTTAATGGCATAAATAAGTGTACAAAATACACTTATCAACTATATTCCTCAAAAATAAAGAAAATATTTTCTTTAAGGATGTATAGTTTTTATTATTCAGGTAATCCGCTCTTTCTTTCTCTCTCTCTCATCCACACCTTATTTCTCATCTACCCACAAAAAATAGACAAGTATGATATTTTTTAAGTTGAAAACTAAATCAATTAAACACATTTAATCAATAATTTTCCCATAAGCCCTAGCAATTGAATTATCTGTAATTTATTTTCTTTTCATGCAAATTTCATACTCGCAATCAAACACACATTTAGATTTTTTGTTTAATTATACATATGAAGCCACACATATTTGTAATGAACATTGTTGGCAATAAATAATATTATGGAAGATTACATAACTCAGACGTTTAATTATACATATGAAGCCACATATATTTGTAATGAACATTGTTGGCAATAAATAATATTATGGAAGATTACATAACTCAGGCATTAACCATACCCTAATTCAATTTTAAGAAAAAAAAAATGTTTAAAAATTCAAAATTTAGGTGGTAATTAATTAATTTTTTATATAAAATAATATCTTATATATCTAATAAATATCAATTCTAATATCTCGACTCACTCCAATTCATTCTCTCTCCATTCTCTCTCTACTCTATTCTCTCTACGTCTCATTCTCTCTTCCCCTATCATTTTCTCTCTAACAGCGACGCTCATCGTCGGCATTACTCAGCGGTGAGCTTCACATTGTCCAGTATTAACTGCGTAGTGGTGCACACCTTTGTAAGGCGGTCTTGGAGGTTGTGAACTTGGTGGAGGTGGAGGTGGAGGTTGAAGTCTAGGAAGTGGGTGTGAACTAGGCATAGGAGTAGGCGGTTGACAGGGAAATAGAGCTAGGGATGGAATGGGAGGTGGATCTGGAAGTGGACATGGTGAAGTGAGAGGTGAGTGGCGACGTTACAGCACAGTGGCTAAAGATTGTTGGTAGTTTTATTTTTGTGGGAGGTTTTTCTAATATGTGGGTGGGTGGTTTCCCGTGGATGATTATTGGTGGGTAGTGATGATGGTGGTTGTGTAGGTGGTGGTAGAGATGGCGGTTGTGGATGGATCAGATTCAATGTAAATTTGTAAATTGTTGGTGATGAGATTTAAAACAAATGTAAATTGTTACTCGTAATGTTGATCCAATAGCATGTGACCAGTTATCTTGAATTTGTGATCTTTAGACAGTGATTTGTTACATGTGATATTGATTCGATGCCCTATGACCAATTCTCTTGGATCTGTGACCAATGGATATTAATTTGTTACCTATACAATTTGACCCGTGACTAGTGAACTGTTTCATGTGACTTGTTATCTGTGCACAAACACATGTGACATCTTATCTATAACCTATACAATATGACTTGTGATCGTAGAGTATGAACTGTGACCTGCAAATATGAACCGTGACAAGTTATGTTTGATCTATAACATATGGATATTTATCCGTGAATTATACAATATGACATGTGACCTATAAACATGATATGTGACCAGTTCTTTTTGATTTGTAACGTGTGAATATTTATATATGACCTATGCATAATGGCTTGTGACTTGGTACATGTGACCTTTAACCTATCACTGCCGCCAGATATCAACACAGCGTTTGACGTACACTTTATTAACATGTAACCATCGCCAGTACTACCACCATCACAAAACCACCTAAAAAAAACCACAAAACCAATTATTTATAATTTAAGGTCACATATTATTTATTAGTCAAAAATATCTATTTTATTGGTGATATTCACAAATTAACCCAATTTATTGATCATAATCACCTCAATAATTGGTCACAAAGCCTCTTTATACATCTTCAACCTAACCCAACCCAACCAACGACATCGCCACCCCTATATGTGTGTGTGAACGTGGGCGTGCGTGCATGCATGCTTACATTGTAAATACTTGTGTGTTTGGGTAAGTGATGGGCACTCTCGTTAGTGTAGGAGAACGTTAGTATATACAAATCTATTTTTATTCTATAGTTAGCATTTCGGGTTATTGTGTTGACAAAAAATCATGCTTTCTCATAAATCCCCACATTTTTGCATAGCTGATTATCGATTGCATATGGAAACATCCCTTTGCCCCTACAGTGTATTTGACTTGTGCCTCCTCAGTCAAGAAGAAATACTTGTGGAAGTGTCACAAACATTTGGTTGCAAGTTATTTGCTGATAAAGCTAAAAATCTAGAATGTTTTCATGCTTTGGAACTCACAGTTCCCAAAATTCTATCACAAGATTTGTGCTCCCGTTTCCAGTTATTTGATGGATTCCCCAAACTACGTGAAAAGGCTGAAGCGAAAATTGCCAAGGCTCGTGCTAATATGCAGCTGGAACCACTTATATGCCCTTCTGTACAGTGGTATGATGTGACATGGTTTTTCAGACTGAAAAGCGGAGAAAAGAAAGACCCAATCAAGCTGTCAGGGATACTTATGGTGTTTAGCATGTATGTTACTCAATATCCTCGTCCAGAGAAGAAAGTGGGCTCTGCAACTTCTTGGACCCAAATGGGTCGTGTCAACAACACCTAGTTTTAGGGCTATGGAGCTGAATTATGTTTAAGAGTCACTGCTTCAAAAATCAAGGAGCTTCTGATGACTCCCTCTGGAAACTTCTAGACATCAGTGTAGTAGCATCACCAGTGGCTCCAGATGCATTATCCAAAAGTTTGAGTGGTTCGTCCGGGGTCGAAAAGACTTCCGAGAGCTTCGTAGAACCCCAATTTGAACCAATTGTCATAGCTACAAGTCGAAAACGGTTGAGTGTGTCTCCTCCAAGTGTAAGACCCTCTATCACATTATTTGGAAAAACAAGACTTGGGCTCCTGGATTCTGTTCTCGACCGTGAAGAAAAGGAAACAATTTCCAAGAGTAGTGATCATCACTCATCAGAGAGCTATGATGCAAACCTGAGAAAGTTTTATAGGTCTATGAACATGCTAGTACCTCGGTTTCTCCCTTCCCTCGTGGAGCTTATAAAGCTCAACAAATGTGCCAGAGGAGGCTGTAATCTCCATTGAAAACAAACAAGATACCAGAATTTCACTGATACCACTTGTTGTGAAACCAACCACTGGATTGACATGTTGAAGTTATATGGCACAATAATAAAGTATTTGATCAATCAGAATAATAATAAAGACAAGAAAAATGACAGATGAATTAAAAGATTTTATTGACTCAAAAATAATGGAGAAAAAAGAAAAATTACAATGAATCCTATAATTCTAGTAATCTATTTTCTCACACTTATAATATTGTATAGAAGAGCCTAATATTTATAGGGAACATGTAGGGGACGTCCAAACTTTCTTAATAGAGTTGTTGATGAAGTGAGATGTCAAAAAATCGAGTCCAAAATGAAGTATGAGAAGAAAACAGCGAAAAACCCAAACAGCATAGGTGGGCGCTGCGGCGCTCACCCTCGGTGCCGGAATGCGGCGCTTGACGTTTTGAATTTTTTTCTTAAATTGTTTTCTCCATCCTAAATGTTTCTTCAAGTCCAAGATCAATTTCCAACTCTCAATGGGCTTTCAAAATAGAAGTTCAACTTGACATATGACTCCAATAGCATTTCAAACTGAATTCTTCTTGACATGCACTTCAATTAGAATTTTTCAATTATTTCAATAAGGAATTCGGGTCACACCCAAATTCTAACAACCTCTTTCTTTCTTGTTGCAACATTCGTTTGCATCTGTTATACTGCTTACTGATTCAACTATAGGTATGCTTCCAGATTCATATTTTATTGAAGTAATTGTTGAAATGGTTTCCATGTGTGGACAAAATGTGAGAAGTTTGCAGACTTTTTGGTATTTGTCATGCTGTGTTATTCGAAAAAATCCAAGAGTTGTCATAAGGTTTGAAATTTATATGCTGCATATGTTTTTAATTTGAATCTTTATATATTCGGAAGACAAATCATGCAAAGAGGTTGAGAAGGTCGGAAGACAATGTGTCGTCCACTTACATGTTGATGCAAGTCTATCTTATGTTTTATGAGGTACATCTTAGAATGTTTTGTAATCGAACTTTTGAATCGAATTGATAGGAAGTTCAAACAACGAACATATCTTATCCTCAAATGCCTGAAGTATTCGGGACGCAAGAGAGCATGGCAGCAGCACCAAGCAAGAATATTGGTATAGAAGAGTCGTCACTTGGTTTTTAAATCTTCTGATTTTGGAAAATTTGCGAAGCTAGGCAATTTTAGTACAAGGGATGTAGACGGTAGACAAATTATCTTAAAAATCATTATGTTTGTATTTTTATTATTTTATTTTTAGGTTTAAAGTTTTGAATTTTAAAATTTTTTTAAAAAAATGTATTATCGAATTGAGTCAATTAATTGACAGGTTGGTTACTTAAACTGCAACCCACCAAACCGAACTTTTTAGTGGTTAAAATTAATCGAACCGAACCGAACTGGTTTTTTTTTGTTTAAACCGACCCACTTGGTTCCGTTTGATCAATTTTTCGGTTTTTTTCCAACCCCAACTTGAAATTTGACACAAAACGTGCCAACTAAGACATGAGATTTGCCAATCGGAGTGAGGAAATCTCACCTTATCCACACTCCCACCACAACCTTAATTACACACACAATCCTACCCTTCCACATCAGTTTCCATCAGCTGCCCATAACCAAATATTTCGCCCATCAAGTTTTCCAACCTTAATTTCTTCTCGGTCCAGTTTTCACAAAAGCAGAAAATGGCAGCCATGAACTCAAGTGTATTGGCATGCAACTATGCCGTATCCGGCACTGAACTCAACGCAAAGGTTTCGTCTGTGCCTCATGTAGCATTTTCTGCTGCACCGGTTCAAAAGTTGCCGGTGATCAGGGCCGGGTGGGTCTCTGACTCGAAAGAATCGGCCAGAAGAGCTGCAATTCTTGGCCTTGGAGCTGCCCTTGTCACTGGTGTTGTTTTTACATCATCAGCAAATGCTGGCGTCATTGAAGATTATATTGAAAGGAGCAAGGCCAACAAGGTAGGTTTCATTTTCTTTTGATCGCCAAAGTCCAATATATTTTTCGATCGTCTTCAACTTTTCGTTATATCCGCACAATAAATCGCCAACACTGAAATTGTTCAAATACGTTTTAACTCGGACTGAATTTTGTTTCTCGACTTGGGTTGGTTACTAGAAATTTGTAATTAGACGTGATGATTTAATCGAGATTTATATGGTTTTTATCACTAGAAAACAATTGTGTAACTATAATAAAATATTGAGAATTCCACTTGCTCTTTTCTTAGGTTGGGGACCAATTATGCAAATTTTCCATATTGTTTCATAACTAATAAAACTAGAGAAATGATATTTGTACCGAATTGTGTCCCCCCTCTCACATGATTTGCGGGCCCCGCGAGCATTAAAAAATGTCAAGCCGAGACCCCATCTCCCGATGTGAGAGGGGGGACACCATTCAGTAATCTCCCCTCGGTACATGTAGCACGGCCCATAAAACTATATAGTACACCTTGAAGCTGCTTATGGGGGTGGACCGAACATTAATGAAGGAGAAAGAAGTTAAAATCTTAGTTACTCTATTGTCCAATATTCTACATCGAATATTTCTTGATCATAGTCAAATGATATTTAACAAAAGACTAATAATTAGATTATAGTTTTGTACTAGATACGTTAGTTTCTCACAAACTTGGTTGCTAGAATAGGAATTGAATGACAAGAAGAGGCTGGCTACAAGTGGTGCGAACTTTGCCCGAGCTTTCACGGTTCAATTTGGCACATGCAAATTCCCTGAAAACTTCACTGGCTGCCAAGATCTTGCCAAGCAAAAGGTTTGATCTTTGTCTCAAATTAAATCCTTTTTTTGCCCATTTTCTTTTTCTTTCATAACGGAGTGTACGTATAGGTGTCAAAATGTGCTTCCGACTTGTCGCACTATCTCATTTGTCTTACTTATATGGCTAAGCTCGATAGGAGTAGATGTGTCAAAATGTACTGAGATGAGAAAAAGTACGGCCTAAAGTACATGTATCAAAATGTGTTGGACTGTCTAGCTTTTAAAATCGATCAAGATCGGGAAAAAGGGTCATTTCGGATACCTCAAAACTAAGCTATGCAAGCATGGTATATTCTTCTTTACGTTGAGCTCCATTTTTTGTCCAAAATACATTTGGAAATAGTATTTTGATGGAGAATGTGTGGTAAAAAAATAAGAAAAATTTGTGGGTTTGTATCTTATATTATTTTATTGAAGAATGTAATTAAAAATAAGAAAGGAAAAAATGTATTTTAAAAATAATGGAACGAAGCAAGGACATAATTTTTTCTCTCTAATCTTATTGCAGAAAGTACCATTTATTTCTGATGACTTGGAGTTGGAGTGCAAAGGGAAGGACAAATACAAATGTGGTTCCAATGTGTTCTGGAAATGGTGAAATGTATTGATGTTTAATCTCAAATATATATTTATCATGTATCTATTTTTTCATTTGCCAACTTCAAAACTGAAACAGTTGCCCTGAATCTGAATTCCTCTACTCTATTTGCTTTGATTTTTCTTCTTTTTTGTTTTAAATACATTTGTGTTTAAATAGAATTTGTACGTTTTGACTCTGTAAAAAAGAAACGGTTCGATGAAGCGAATTGAGAAATGGAAAAATAATTTATGTAGCAAACTCAATTTCAAAGTTTTCAACTACTGTTGGAATTTTCTGAAAATGAACAAACTCAGATAGGAAGCCCAAAATCAACAGTTTTTTTTATGAGCGTTTTAAAAAGCAATGCCTAGATGCGAAGTGGGCACAAAAAGCCTCCCCTCACGCTTTTTCTTTTCGCGCCTAATCACGCCTAGGCTCTTGGCCTCCTCGCTTCGCCACCCTTTATGCTTTTTTAAGCACTAGTTTTCACAAAACAATGCTGCTTGCCTTCCGTTATCAAAGTAAATTTAGATCTACCCCTGCATCCTACATTGCTTGGCATCAATCCTCAATAGACACTATCGACTTAAAAGAAGACAGACAACAGAGACTGTGTACCGTGGTGGTTCAAATCCGTTGTTATTAAAATTCCCAGCATAAAAGAAAGTGCAGAATAACAGAAACGTCATTATGGTAGAAAAAATATAAATATTCGATAAACATCAGAAATGATCTAGCTCCAAAAAGAGTAGACATGGTATAACCTATATGATGTGAAGACAATAATAATGGTCAGATGTAGACATGCACTTCGGAGAGCAATGTTCCTATAAATGATCATCTGAACCAAAAATTACTCACTGGATTTCGTAGAAGTTTCTAAGTAGCAAGACGAGGGAATGAAAGTGGAGACAAACGAGCGAATGAAGGTGCATGGAGACAAAAGTTTCTGACGATGAACTCTCTTTGAACTTTTTCTATTATTACTAGCGGCTGGTGAGATAGCCCTCTTTATATCCAGGCAATCTCACTTGAATTCAGAGTTTCCCAGCATGTGGAAATAAACAGATTACACTGCATTTTTCTTGTTCCTAAAGCTCTCTTTCAGCAAAGTGAACTTTTTCTTACACTGATTAACAGATTTCCCAGGAACTGCAGCAGCTACTCGTTCCCACCTCTGGTTAGTTTCCTTTGGAAATGTTTTAAGAGCTTGTACCAAAGCTTTTTCCTGAACATCGGACCATATATCTTGATCGGAACTTGAAGAAACCCCATTTCCAGAATTGCTTTCATCTGATTTCTGACAATTCTCAATTGGGGTGGAAGACGGATCTAAACAATCAGACGTGCTAGTATTCTTCTCCGGCACATTGCTGTTCCTAAAGTTCTCTTTCATCAATGAAAATTTCTTCTTACATTGACTGACAGTTTTCCCAGGAACTGCAGCTGCAACTCGTTCCCAACGCTGGCTAGTTTCCTTGGGAAAGGTCTTCAGAGCTTGAACCAAAGCTTTTTCCTGAACAGCTGACCATGCATCTGGATCTGAACTTGAAGCAACACCATTAGCAGCTGTACTATCGTCTGAGTTTTCGCAGCTACCAGTTCCACTCGATGACTCTGGCAAATTATTTTGATCAGAAGCATTCCTCTCGGATGCGTTGCTATTTGATAACCCCGGCAAATCTTCTCTAGCTGTAAGAGGAGATGCAATTGATTGTGCTGGCTTTCTTTTCTCGAGGAAGGAATCAAAAGCTTTAGAGGAGTCTGGCTTTTGAAGAAGAACAGTTTTTGTAGCCTTCAGAATCTCTTCAATTGACCTTCCAGTACCAATGTACTCAGAAATCACTTCCCATCTCCGAGAAGTCCCTTTAGGATATTTCTGCATTCCCTTTCTCAACATCTCAATCTCTTCTTTGCCCCAGGGTTTCTCTCTTTTTTCATTGCTGCCAAATAACACTTGTTCATTCACACCCACAGAACCATTCTGCTGTAGGTTCTTCTTCTCATTATGTTTCTCATCCTTCAGTTGGTTATCAGATCCAACTGCATTCCTGATAAATTCAGCTCTCCCTAGCCCTTCCTCTGTTTCCATTTTGTCACATAAATTCCTCATCTGTTCGATGTCAAGTGACATGCAAAGACCTTCCACATTATCATCAGAAATATCAAGCAAATGCTGGGACACGATGGCTCCAGAAAGTGTGCGAAGACGAGTCCTCTCTTTACGTAATAACTTTTTCTCCTTCTCCTTCAACTTTTTCTGGTTTAAAGCAGCTTCAGCAGCCTTTCTTTCATCCTCCTCTTTTTTACGTTTCTCCTCCTCCACAATCCTAGCTGCTTCTTCCTCCTGCAATTTCTTTGCCAAAATCTTGGCCTCCTTCTTCCTCTGTTTCTCAGCTTTCAGCTCATCTTTTCTTCTAAGAATTCTAGGGTCCCTTTTATAGGCATTGTCAACAAGTGTCCGTATACGCGCATATTCTTCTTTCCTTGCCTTCTCTGAGAGTTTTGCATTTTGCCTCTCCATCCACCTTTTGTGATCACGAGACTCAGCTTCCTCAAGGTCAAACTCATCAGTATGAGGAAACTCCCTCCAGCTCTTGAAGCTATACCAAAAATCGTAAAAACTATCCACTTCTTTGAGCGTAGAGTTTTCATCTCCCAAAGTCGGGATAGGCTGGAGCACTGACCAGCGCCCATTTCTCAAGAATGCTGGTCCAAACACCTTGAAAAAGTCCTGCGGTGCACACTCATATGGGATTTCATCATCAAACTCATCCGTTGAATCATAGATCCTTCTCTTGACAGGGTCAATCAGCACCTCATAAGCTTCTAGAATTGCCTTGAAATTATTCTCTATTTCGTCCTTCTTCGCTTGCTTTGCAGCCTCAGTTTCCACAGTAAGTAAAAGTGCAGCCTGCTTGTCAGGATGATGCCTCAATGCTGCTTCACGGTAACTTTTTCTTATCAGTTCCTCAGTCGCAAGATACCTCAAATGGCCCAATCCCAATAAAGCATAATGATCCTGCTGCTTCCCTTCACTGCCAGATTTCTTCTTGCCCTTACTACTGTAGAAGTCTGAAGTTTGCTGGTAATGCTGCTCCTTCTCATTCGAACCCTCCTCGACTTCATTGTCCGCATTTGTTTCCTCAACATGACCTATCAACCTGAGAGCAGCAGCGTGAAAAGCATGCCCTGCAGGCTCCCGCTTGAAAGCCTTGATTGGAAGGCTGTTAGAAGAAACATAGATAGGTTCTCCATCTACTATTTCCTGAGAGAATGTAATAAGCTGCATACTTTTTCCTGGTAGCCTTATGGTATCCCGAAATCTACAGATCAACACGAGGTAAAAACTTCGGTAGGGTCTGGCTCCTGAAGTTCGAGAACGAACATTAACCAATTTACAAATATAAAAATCTAAGAGCAACAAATAATATCAAGAAGAATTATATACCAGAAAAAAAAAATTCGTAAAACTCCAAATAATTAACTAAAAATTTCAAAATAATGAATATGATTTTTTGTCATATAATTCAATAAATAGTTTCGGAAACAAGAAAATCCAAATGGAGTAAGATAAATAAACAAACAATAAGACATACAAAAAGAAATTAAAATTAGAAATTATTAATATCAGCATGAAAAAATTTACTGATGACCTACCGCAGCTGTGGATGAAAGACAGCTGACCGTTGGCGGCGGCTCCGAGGGAAAAGGAGTCGGAGGTGGATGGTGATACAAGCGACGAACCTAGGGTTTTGTTTTAGCTGTGCAGAGGAGCAAATTAGAAAAGAAAGGCATTGTGATGAAGTGAGTATTTATAGTTTGAGAAATGGACTGTTTATGAATATGAGCCCATGGAGGTTAGGAATGGACCGATAATGCTGGTCTAATTGGGCCGAGTTTATCATGATGAGCCTAAGTAGGTTGGAAATGGACTGATAGTGCATGAAAACTTGGGCCGAGAATACATGAATAATAGACCCAATTATATGTTTTTTTAGCCCCTGTTTGATGAAAATTAAAATTAATTTTTTTGATAAATTTTAATAAAAATTAATGAAATGTGTGATTAAAAAATTACGAATCACATAACATATGTAAAATTAATCCCCTTTTGGCCCCCATTAAATTAAAATTCATTTTTCTCTCTTTTCTTATTGACCACACATTATCAAACAAAATAATATTACACGTAAACCCAAAAAAAATTTGTTCTTTTTTAGTTACACATTCTCCAAAAAAATATTATTCATCTCATTATAATGTGGAATAATGGGAGCCAAATAGGGTATTAATTCTTGACTTTGATTTAAATTAAAATCCGAATTTTAATTCCCACAAAATAGGGGCTTAATGTCATTCAACTTCAATTTACTTCTGTTGACCTTGTTTTTTGTATCGTTGACGTGGATAACAGATATTGAGCTCACTCTCGTCCACGCAAGCTAATTCCAAAACGTTAGGATACATTACTAGTCTACGATGTTTGGGTTTTGGATAGGAGAGAAGTTTTATAACGCGAGACAAAAATGTTCAGACACCGATAATATGTATCAGTTGGATCGCATGATAAGGAACAATCAATAATACACAAACTAAAAGATAAGATCAGACATCTAACTCTACCATTGAAAGATTTAACTTAAAAGAAGATGATATATAGTTTAAAATAAATGTATTTGCATTACCCCTAAATGATATTAAGGAAGGATGTTTATAGTGTTACATATAAAATAGTCTCCACTAGATGAAGGGACACGTGGCCTCATCTCCTCGACCAAAACATTTTATCTTAGGTAACAATTTGACCCTACTAGTAAAGGGTGGCAGTCACCCTACAACATAGTTGATAAGACTTTAACATATTACTCATTACAAGGATTACATCAATCATTCGAACGTGATTTTATTAATAGGAGATCTTCAAATGAGATGGGCGACCACTTGTGGTAGAGCTATGGATTTAGCCTCCTTGAGCATCACCACTTCGGAAAGAAGGTTTCGGTAGGTCCATCTGCATACTATCCACCATCATTTTGACGCACCTATGATGGTGATGGGGTCGACTCCAACCCACTTGGGCTGCTACCTGAGGGAACCCTTCATCAGGGTTTTCTCTAACCCTCTTGGGGGGGACATTACGGTCTGAACTCATTTTTTCCTAAGGGTTCCACTTGTTTTTTTTCAAGAACAAATTATTTTTCAAGGAAGATGCCTAGCAACTTTTTGGCGAACTTTTTCCATGGGAATGTTAGTGACGATTCTCAAATACGACGCTAATTTGTTGACCTCTTTTTTCTACGTTGACGTGGACAACAGATACCGGGCTCACTCGAGTCCATACAAATTAATTCCAATACGTTTGGACAGATTACTAGTTGACAATGGTTTGAGTTTGGATGGGGAAGAAGCTTTATAATGCGAGGCAAAAATGTTCGGGCGCCGACAGTATGTATGAGCGGGATCGCATGATAAGGAACAATCAATAATACACAAACTAAAAGCTACGATCAAACATCTAACTCTACCAATAAAAAGATTCAACATAAAGGGAGATGATATATAATTTAAAATAGATGTATTTACATTATCCCCAAATGATACTAGGGAGTATTTATTGTATTACATGTGAAATGGTGTCCATTGGATGAGGGAACACGAGGTCTCATCTCCTCAATCAAAGCATCTTATCCTTGATATCAATTTGACTCCATTAGCCGTAGCGCATTTAATGCTCTTAAAAGGGGACAGCCACCCTACAACCTATATTGACAAAATTTCGACGTATTACTCATTACAAGAGTCACATCAATTATTCGAGCATGATTTTATTAATAGGAGATTTTCAAAGAAGGTGGTTCATCACTTGTTGTGTAGAGCTTCGGATTTAGCCTCCTTGAGCACTACCACTTCAATAAGAGGGTTGCGATAGGTCCTTTTGCACACCACCGATTCGGTTAGAGGGCTTCGATAGGTTCATTACACCACCGCTTCGATTAGAAGGTTTCGGTAGGTCCATTTGCACTCCACTAAGGAGTTTTGTTGGCGAGGTGTAACAACTTCCATTGATCACTCACATTAGGTTCTCATTTTATATTGTTTGGTTAAAAATTATAACTTGTTGAAATTATAAATGAATGATGAATTATTTCCTAGTGCTTGTCTGGATTTTATTATAAGTTATTGAAATTATAATGAGAAAGAAATGATAGGTGGATAATTATTTAATTGTCATTGTGATTTCTAAATTTAAAGTTGTACTTTGACTTTAACTTTTATATTATAACGTACTTATAATGAAATCCAAACATGCATGGAATTAACCCTTCTTTTTTGTATAATTTATGAAAAAAAATTAATATTTAAAAATGTACTACTAATTTTTAAATCTGTTTTAAAAAAAATAAATTGGCGATTTTCTTAACAACTAGTCAAAGTTAAGCGTGCATTACACGTTATTCTGAAATATTTTATAAGTACTATAAAAGTAATATTTGATACCAATTTGTTGTGAATATTTGATGGGTCTCAAACAAACTAATGAAAATAAAATTTAGGATGGAAATTTAAAAAATAAAAAAAAATTGTACTCTCAAAACTCAACTTCTATTATTCAATTTTTTTTGTGATGATGAAATTCTACAAATTAGCTACTTTTTATACTACATTTGGTACATAAGAATTAATTGCTAATGCATGAATTTAAATATCCATTAAAATTTCTAGATACATGAATAAAAATAAATTTATTTATAGTAACTCTATATTCATGTAGATCAAGATTAATCAAATCAAAATTCATTGAGTTATGAATGTTAATTAATTGAGAATTAATAATACAAAATTCATACATGACAAAGAGTTTATTGTATTAATAGTTATTAAAATTAATTGTGCAATTATAAGAAAAGGCGATTTACTGACTTTTTCATTCTTAATTAGACATCGACTTACTACTGAGCAATTGATTTGAATACAAATAATACAATTTTCCAAAGGAGAGTAATTTTTTTCCAACTTTTTTGTCAATGAACAATGAAGAAAACTAAAGCAAGTATTCCCAAGTAAAAAGAAAATAGAAACTAAAAAAAGGCATGTCCCAGCACGATACCTAGCATCTGCTTGAGCCACATTATTTTTTTCATTCTCATTCTTCTACTCATTTTCAATCACACATTCTGCACAGTACCCATGTTCCATATCTACGATTTAGCAGTTTTGCCACAGGTCTATTAGTTGCTGGATGTACAATAGTTTGAAGTAGAAGATAATATGGGATGGACAACTGTAGGTGATAAGATGAATATGGGGTGGACAGCTGTAGGTGGTTGTAGCCAACAAGGAGAAGAAGATGATGATGAAGATGGGGATGGGTGTGGGGGTGAGTAGGCAGATTTCTTCTTCTTCTTCTTCCTTTTTTTTTTTTTTTAAGTTTAATTGTTCTAATTGTTATTATTTGAAAACAAATGTAAATATACCATTTTGCCCTTTCTTAATTTGGTCAAAATTGATTAAATTTTGACTTTTCTAGTCAATTAACGGTTTCCATCCATTTGGACCCCGTTGCATATTTTTGAAAAGGTTTGGAATTGTGGATGGCACAAAATGAAAGTTAGGATAAAGTTTGCAAAAAAGTGAAAGATTAGTGACCGCTGCTGCAATTTTCCCTAACTAATAATAATACTGACTCGGTGTTGATTGAGTAAAAATATACCCATTTGCTGTAATTGAGTTTTAAGATAATGCATGACGTTATTTTTAATAATATTTTGTAATTATCCAGCTATATGGCTGCTTCGCTTGATTTTGAAGATTTTTTTTTTTTAATATAATTCAGACACATCACAGCCGTTAATTTTATTATATT